TTTTCGCAATGAAACGTTGAAATAAGGGCGAAAATGCAAAAAAATGAAACGTAAAGACGTTTTGCACAATAACTGTCACACGTAGGGACGTTTTGTGCCATAAGCCTTTATCAAAATGCCAACTGTTAAGAAAACAATTATTGTTGAAGCAAAGCCTAGTGATACCATCCGAACATCAAAACTCAGATCAGGGAGAAAGAAGGCGTCTGTTCAGATTAGTACACTATGATTTCTCCTGGAAAGCCACTTGATGATAATCAGACTGTAGAATGACTCAACATTCAAGGTGGTTCGACCCTTCATATGTTGTTGAATCCAAAAGGCATGTTGCTAATTTCTGTAAAAATGCAAACTGGAGAGATTCTGAAGTTAGAAGTTAAGCTCTTGCACACAATTTGAGACTTCAAAGCAATACATGAGAGCATGGTTGGTTCATCTCTTAATGATATGGTACTAACATATGCTGGAAAGCAACTGGAGCATATTCATGCCTACATTCCCCCATATGTCCCATGTGTCCCTATTTGAGTCCCTACTTCTAGTCCCAATTTTCTGCTTATTGTTTATTTAGGATTGCTATATCAATAATGATTAACTAATGGTCGTTTAGCCATGTTGACTTGTTATGAGGAGAAGAAGCAAGGAGGCCATTTGTAGAAACTACTGATGCTTTGTGGGATTTTTTTTGTTATGAATTATATTTGCGTTCTGATACTTCGCAACTTATTTTCCATTTTCCGTACAATTAATGTTATGGATCTAAAGGGGAAATTTTCAATTTTTCTCCTCGTGTTGTTGATTGCTAACTAGCTATTGTTTTTTTTAAAGTTATGTCACCGTTTTTGAGTTTCAATCACTTTTTATAATGTTTGTTACTATTTTCTATTACTTTTTTGGTTTTTTGATCACTTTTTTTTACTACCAAAATCATTTTTTTATAAAAGTGGGATTGTGTCACACTGTCACTTAATTTATGCATTACCATCCATGGATGTCAAAGTTGCCCGCCAATTTTATAAAAGTGACATTGTG